TGATGGGAGAAAGAAGAAAGAATCAACCGATGCATGCATACATAAGTGAAACAACACATCAATGTTTCTCCTTTCCTCTCTCTTTTAAACCAATCAATTAGCCCAACCGGTGTGGCTCAGTGGTTGAGCTTAGGAACGAAGAGGTCATGATTTGATTCCAGGTCAGGGCACATGCCTGGGTTTTGAGCTTGACTCCCTGTAGGTGGCATGCAGGAGGGAGCTGATGGTTGATGTTTCTATCTCTCTATGCCTCTCCCTTTCTCTCTCTCTCTCTCTCTCTCTCTCAAATCAATAAAAACATATTTTTAAAAATAAAGTCAATCAATTAAAAATATATTTTAAAAAAACACACACCAAAGGAAAAGTTCAAATGCCACCGCTGTTTATTTCTGCGCCTTTTTCCGTGGCCTCGTTCCCTGCCACCCTTCGCCGCCTCCCGCTATCGGATGTGGAGCCTGTGCCCAGACTCAGAGAAAGACCCTCCGAGGGGCCCGTGGCTCCGGGCCTCTGCTGCCCAAGGTCATGTTGATCTGCTTGAACGAAAGCCGTCCGTGCACTGAGACTGACTCCCGACACCCCTTTCGCCCTAATACCGGATTGCGTTTCAGAGCAGTTGTCCTGCTCTCCTCCTGGCCATTTCCTACCAGGGCTGGGACGGCTCGGTCCCTGTCCTTGGACCCGCTCTGACAGTGAAATGTGATCCATAGAAGTCCTCTCGGGGGTGCCCAGCCGGCTGCTGCCTGCTCTTCATGCCTGTCCACATCCCTCCTGCAGGGGCTGGGGTGCTCTCTTCCGGGCAAGGGCCACAGTCTGACCCAACTGGCTGTGCCCCTCCCCTACCCCCAGCACAGTGTGCACAGCCAGCTGCTGCCAGTGCTTGCAGCTAAGCATCCTGGGATGGGATGTGGGCTGGGAAGCTAAACCAGGAGCACTGGACAGGGAGACAGGAGACCTGGCTTCAGCACTCGGTCTGGCTGCTGAGGAGCTGGCTGTGTGGCCATGGGGCTCTCGCCTCACTTCTCTCGAGCTGTTTTCTCTCCCATATAATAATAACGAGTGTCTACTATGGGCCAGGGACTGTATATGTTGTACATTAACTCCTTTGCTCCTCCCAATAGTCTATAAGGTGGATACATCGATCCTTAAATAAATAAGGATAAACGAGGGATCTCAGAGAGACTGAAGTAACTTGTTCAAGGTCATTAGCTAGTAAGTGATAGTTGATCCCAGAACTTGCACTTTTAGCTACGACACATGCTGCCTCTGTCGGGATAGGAAAAGATGTATTGGCTAGCTAATGCTGTGTAACAAATTACCATGCCATTTAGTGGTACAAAGCAACCAACATGATGACGTATAGTTTCTATGGGTCAGGAGTCAGGGAGTGGCTGAACTTGGGGTACTGGCTTGGAGTCCCTCATGAGGCTGCAGCCATGATGTCGGCCGGGGTTGTGGTCATCTGAAGGCCGGGCTAGGGCTGGAGGGTCTGCTTCGTAGACGGTGCCCTCAGACGGAGCTGGTTGGTGGCTGGAGGCCTCGGTTCCTCAGCACGTGGACTCTCCACAGGCCGTTGGAGCGGCCTCGGGACGTGGTTGTGGGTTTTCCCCTGGGAGCCTGTTCCGAGAGAGGACAAGGCAGAACTGAAACACAGTGACTAAGCCATGGAACGCGCACGCTGTTGTTTCCACACTATCTTGTTGGTGACAGGTCAGCCGTATTCATGAAGGGAACTCCAGGAGGTGGGATCGTAGAGGCCATCTTGGAGGCCGGCCATCACAGGTGGTAACTGAGAGCCACTAACAGGTAGTTGGGAGGGTCAAGTCAAAGGAGAGATGGAAGCATGCTGTAGGCATTTGCTAGAGCTACTGCACCACAAAACGGGGGGCTTATAGCCACAGAAACGGATTCTCTCACCGTTCTGGAGGCTGGAAGTGGGCGGCAACAAACTACCACAAACTCCGTGGTTTACGTGGACAGACATTTATTCTCTCGCAGTTCAGGAGGCCACAAGTCCAAAGTCAAGGTGTCAGCAGGGTCATGCTCCCTCTGAAAGTTCAAGGGGAGAATCCTTCCTTGCTTTTTATAGCTTCTGGTAGCTGCAGGCATTCCTGGGCTTGTGGCCTCCTATCACTCCATCTCTGCCTTCCACTGGGCTTGGCACTTTTCTCTGTTATCTGTGTCTTCTTTTCTGTCTCTTATAAGGACACTTGTCATTGGATGTAGGGCCCACCTTAATCCTCTCAAAACCCTTACCTTAATTACATCTGCAAAAACCCGGATAAAATAAGGTCACATTCTGGGATTCCAGGTGAGCGTATCTTTTCTTAGGGGGTGGGGAAGAGAAGCACCATTTAACCCACCAAACCTCCCAGCCAACTCTGTTCCAGTGACCTATTGCTGTACAATAAATGAGCCCAAAACTTAGTGACCTCAAACAGCAATCGCTGGTTTCTTTGAGTGAGGAATTTGGGGAGGGCTTGGCTGGCTGGTTCTGGCTTCCAATCTGTCATACCGTGGCAATCAGACCGTGGATGGTGCTGGAACAGTCCGGGGCTGAGGCAGCTAGGACTAGGCAAACATCGCTCTCTCTTCCTGAAGTCTCAGACCTCTCTGTGTGGCCTCCCCACGTGGCTAGTTGGGCTTCCTCACAGCATGGCAGCCTGGGGGAGGTTGGACCACTTCCTGGAGAGCAAGGCATTCAGAATCACTGAGGGTCACCTCCACGGTGCTCTGCCATTCAGGACAGCCTCCAAGGCCCTCCCTTCCCCCCAGAGGCATGACAGCTCTCAGCAGCAGCGCATTACCTTTACAGATGCGGACACTGAGGCTCAGCAAGGGAAGTAACTGCCGAGTTACTCGAGCTCAGGGCAGAGCCACACCTGAACCCAGGAAGGTGACTTCAGGGCCCGTAACGACAGCACGTACTTAGCACCTGTGGATGCTTTCTCGTCTCCAGTGATCTGTTCCTTCAACCTGGGAAAATGGGCCCGATCAAGTCCCAGGCTGCTGTCTAGGATGGTTTGGGGACAACAGGGATGGTGTGAGCGTGAAGGAGGCCTGTAGACGGGTCGCCAGGTGCCCTGGCTTCCAGCCCTGGCTCGGCCACGCCTGTTGGTGTGGACTTGGGCAGTTTCCTGTTCTGTAACAGAAGGAACCATGCCTGCCCCGCTGCCTTTTATGGTTGTCACGGGTGACAGGAGGTTCAATATGTTGGAGTGCTTGCTAAGCTGCTTAATGCTGGTCAAATAAAAGGCATCGCATGTCTCTTTGAGTTGCTCAGAGTGCCAGGAGCAGCTGGCTGCTTGGCAGATGTTGGTTGATTTTCATTTAAAGGTTTCCTACCAACCCCAGAAGGAGCAGCAGGTCCGGCAACTTTGCTCTGCGACCAAGGATGGTTACCCAGGAGACCATGCGGTCGAGTCATCAGTGAGGGACTGTGCACTTTGGAGCTTTCGGGTCCTTGTTGCCCCAGAGTAGCCAGTGAGTAAGACTGGGGAAGAGATGAATCTTCCAGAGGATTCGTGTCACTGAGGGCTGTGTAAACAAAGGACCCCAAATTCAGTGCTTAACCTGGTGATTCATTTTTATCTGTCGTGGTTGTGTAGGTTGACAGGGCTCAACTGACCAGTTCTTCCTCAGCGAATGGGGCGGGGTCTCTATACATTTGCAATCGGAGAGCAGCTGGGTCTGTGGTCATCTGAAGGCCCGACTGGGCTGGGTGTCCCAGATGGCAGCTCAGGGCTCTTCCACGCGGCCTCTCTCTCCAGCAGTGTGGCCCCAGCTTCTTAAGTGGCAGCTTTTGACTCCAACGGTCAGTAGAAATGGCCAGTCTCTCAAGGGCTGGGTGCAGATAAGGGTTGGCATCACTTTGGCCATATTCCATTGGTCAAAGAGTCACAAAGCCGCCAGATACTAGGATGTGGAGGAATGGACTCAACCTCTCAGCGGGGGCCTGGGGTGTCCACCCACAATCTCCAAAGAATCTTTGTACCAGTAACAGTCAGCTTTCCCGGTAGAGACTGGCAGGTGTACAAGAGACGGGCCCCCAGCTGAGCTCATGGTGGCTCAGGTAGCTGAACTCTTCCTCTCCAGAAGGGAAAACAGTCATTCCAACAGGGTGCCTCCCTGCCCTGTCATCGGTCTGTGGAGTTTCGGCTGAGCTCATGGTGGCGCAGGTAGCTGAACTCTTCCTCTCCAGAAAGGGAAAACAGTCATTCCAACGGGGTGCCTCCCTGCCCTGTCATCGGTCTGTGGAGTTTCCCAAGCTTCCTCGCCCACTCCCATTCTGCCCTTCTTGCGCATCTTGTCGATTTACTCTTCTCGCTCCCTTTTGACAAAAGCAAATCTGTGTGCCCTGGGGCACGTGATGGCTTCTTTGAGCCTCGGTTTCCCCCCCTGTAACATGGGGTACCTCCCAGGGTTCCTATGAGTATCCTATACGGTTTAACTTAGCAGGTCCTAGCACGGGTCTGACACAGGGAAGGTGCCGGGTGAGTAAACCAACAGTCCAGTCACAGGTCTGGTCTTGCCCAGTATATCAGGTCTTGTGTTAAATGCTTTCCATAGGTTATCTGGTCGAAACCTTCGGGCTCCAGGAACTGAGTACTATTTTTATCTCCGTTTCGTAAAACAAGGAAACTGAAGCTCGGGGAGGTTATGGAACTTGCTCAAGGTCCTTCGGTTAGTAAGTGGCAGCAGCTCTGAGACTTGAACCTTGAGGTGTTTCCCACTGTAGCCCCTTCTTTAGCCCCAGGTGATGTGAGTAAGAATAAAAACATCGCTGCTCTTGGCCCCTCCCCAGGCTTCCAGACTGTTCTCTAGACTCACATACCCTCTGGGAGGCAACTGGTTCCTTGTTCATCTCTAAGTGGCTGCAAACATGTGCTCACTGGGGAGGTATCTGTTCAGGTTTAAATACACTGGCCAGAGGTGGAGGGACTTGCCGGGGTGGGGCGCGGGTGCTCCGTTCAAGCAAATATCTGCTTCTTTTCCCCCCACAGAAACTCTCCTCCTCTCTGCGGCGGTGGACAGCCGGACTCTGGGGGAACCTGGGATGGCTACGGCAGGTCCGTGGGAGTTTAGCAAGGATGGCCAATTCTCAGGGATGCTCAGACCTGCCCTGGCAGGGCCAGCAAACTACACTCAAAACCTGGCCCACCGATTGTTTTTATAAATAAAGTTTTATTAGAACACAGCCACGTCCACTTGTTGACTATTGCCTGTCTGCTTTCATGCTACAAGGGCAGAGTGGAGTAGCTGTGATGGAGCCCACAGGCAGGAGGTTGAATAGCTTTGCTGTCTGGCCCTTCGCAGAAACTGCTGGCCCTGCATGAGGGGCCTCGCTCAGGCTGGTCTCTGCCAGCTGATTCCACCCGGGCTGACACAGGAGGGAAGAGGGTTGCGTTTTGAGTAAGAGACAGTCTGTTGGAGGGGCTGTGTTGGTGTCTCTTCCAATCAGGCGGCCAGACTTGTTCACGATGAGGCCGGGTTGGGGTCGGAAGTGGTGCTGGCTCAGAGCCTGGGGTTCGTCACGGCCGCCCTGAGTCACTGGCTGCGAGCACCTGCAGCCCCAGCAGGGAACACTGCTTCCCTCTGCCCCCCAGGTGCCCAGGTCCTTGGCGGCTCAGGAGGACAGGATGGAACCTGTTCCCCGTACTTGAGGAATCCCCTGCACACACCCAATGGTGCCTGCGGAGCCGGCAGGAGGGGGATCCCTGAGAGCCGCTGTGCCGCGAGCTCAGCTGCCTCAGTGACTTGGTGTCTATGGTTAGCTGGGGGCTGGGGGCCCTGCCGCCCCTGCCTCTCTCCCCTCAGGGACACGTCCTGGGGACCTGCCTCTGTCTCTGCCCATCAATGGGACATCCCCTATTAGGAGCAACAGGGGTCTCCTTATGTGGTCCCTTTCTTTGCTCCTGGGTCTCCTGGGTTCTCCATGGACGGCACCCCCAGCCTCTTTCCCTGACCTGGGAGGGGCTGGGAGGGCTGGTCCTGGGCAGACTCCAGCCGCACTGGGGAGATCCGCTCCACACCCACGTGCGAGGAGCTCCAACAGCAAACAAACAAGCACCAAGCACACGGCCCCTTCCTCCTGGCGGTGGCAAGGGTGTGCCAGCCCCGCTGTGCCCTTGGGCACTGGATACAGTTGGCCCAGGCTGGCCTCGGTGCCCGCTGAGCCATCAGCACCCCCAGCTGCACGCCGGCTCCTTGGGTGGGTGGCCTCAGCGCCCACCCCCTCGCTCTGCTGGGCGGCTGCCCCGGTGATGGATTGTCCTCCCGAAGATTGATTTTTCATTTTATTTTATTTTTATTTTTTCCCAATGATTGATTTTTTAAAATGTGCTCTGTGCTGACTCCATTCTGTTCTGCAGAGTCCCTGCCTCCAACACCGTGGCTCCGGCCTGCGGCCTGGTCTGCCAGGTAGCCAGGGAGACACATATGTCGCAGGCCTGGGGGCTTGGAGGAAGGAGGGAGGAGCCATGGTCACAGCCAATGTGGAGTCCGCCTTCTCTTCCCCCGCCTCTCCTGGAACCCAGGTCCCTATGCGCGCTGATCTCATGGCCACACGCAGACTAAGGGTGTCCTCACTGGGCCAAGTGGCCTACACGCAGGCGTGGGAGAGGGGCCTGCAGCTTAGCAGGGCTGGACGCTTCTTAAAGGCCACAAAAGACACTATTGCATTAACACATGCGGTCACGGGGAACATTCACAATTTTTTTAAAAAAAATCACAAAAGGAATTCATTCTTATTAAAAATTTTGAAACAGCTGGGCCAGTGTGGCTCAGTGGTTGAGCATCCACCTAAGAACCAGGAGGTCACGGTTCGATCCCCGGTCAGGGCACATACCTGGGGTTGTGGGCTTGATCCCTAGTGGGGGGCATGTGGGAGGCAGCCAATCCATGATGATTCTCTCTCCTCATTGATGTTTCTATCTCTCTCTCCCTCTCTGAAATCAATAAAATATATATGTATATGTAATTATTATAATTATTTTGTAAAGGCACTTTGGACTGTAAAACTGCAAAGGTACCGAGACAGGCTGGCCGGGAGTCGGCTGAGGATCCCGGGAGAACGCGGGGCAGGACCACAGCTGGCTCTCTAAAGACTGTGGCACCCCAAAACCCTGACAACACGACCTCCCGCCTCCAGACCACAGCCTGAGAAAGAAACTTTTATCTTATAAAAAAAAAAAAAAGAATGCTATGTAGGGGAAGGCTTAGTATTCAAACCTATTTAGTAGGAAAGGAAAGAGGAAAAACGGTCAATTATTCGCCTTTCCCCTCTGTTGTCTGTGTTTGGTTGGTTGTCATTTCCAAGGAAAACCAGTCTGGGGCTTTTAGTGGAGTAGGAGTAGCGGGGAGGGCGGGGAGGGGCAGAGGGGCTCCTGCTGGGAGAGGCACATACCGTATGTCTCCTTCCTAGGCCGCCGGGCTGGCCTGCATCTCCCTGAAGAGCCTCGGTCTGGTCTCCTCGCTGCCGGCTCCTGGAGCCAGTGCAGAGCGGGAAGGAGAAGCCGCGGGACTGAGAGAGGGAAGGAGAAAGGAACGTCAGAATGAACGAAAACCACTCTTCTTTGGGATCTGAGCATGACCCCTGGGACGCGGGCCGCCTTGGGGGTGGGGGGTGGGGCAAGCGGGGCTGCAGGAAGCCGGGCCTGGCTGCTCTTCTAGGCCACCGCATCCTTGCTGCTCAGCTCCCTGAATCCCCACAACAGCCCTCTGCTGTGGGTAGAATTATTACTTTTTTTTTTTAAAGGGTTGGGACATTGATTATTGATTATTGACATTTTTATTGATTTCAGAGAGGAAGGAAGAGAGAGAGAGAGATAGAAACAGCAACGATGGGAGAGAATCATTGATGGCTGCCTCTTACATGCCCCGCCTCAGCTCCCCACTGGGGATCAAACCTGCAACCCAGGCATGTGCCCTGACCAGGAATGGAACCGTGACCTCCTGGTTTATAGGTCGACACTCAACCACTGAGCCACACCAGCTGGGCTATTATTACTCTTGCTTTATAGGCAAAGTGACTGAGTCGGCCCAAGAAGCAACTTCCCCAAAGTCACCCAGGTAGGATGTAGCTGACCCAGAACTTGATGCCGTTCTCCGACACCCCAGCCGGTGCCTGAACCCATGTGCCCTGCGGCCTGGATCCTGCTGTCGGTGGAAATGAGGACCTCCGTGACCCCGGCCCCCAGGACTCTCCAGCCACAGGGTGAGGCAGCAAAAGGATGTGAGGAGGAGCCAGAAAACTGGGATGCAAATCCTGGCTCAGCTGTGTGACCTCCGAGCAATGACCCCACCTTCTGGGCCTCCATTTCCTTATCTGAAAAAGGGGGTCTGTCCTGAGGATTGGATGCGGCGACACAAACGAAGTGCTTTGCAGGTGACAAGGCAAAAAGGTGCCTAATGAGAAGGCTTGCTCCTGGGTGACCGATGAGACCAACGCTCGGGTCTCCAGGGAGCGCCTTCAGCCCACACTACCAGGCGAGCACACGGGCTGTTTTCCTTTTCCCTTCCCCCCAGATGGGAGCGTGCCGGCCCATTCATTCGGGGAGAACTGAAACCAGCTGGCCGCACAGCTGCTCCACTCCTGCTTTGCATGTTCTTTTGTTTTTCCACTTCGCAGCGTGTCTGGGACTGTTTCCACGGCCATACCTCTCTGGTCCTGATTCCCTGTTCCTGCCACTGGCCGTCCCGTAAACGTGGCGTCAGTCCCCGACGGCGGGCGCCCGCATGGCCTCGCCAATCTCATAAGCAATGCCACCCAGGTCATTTCACAAAAGTGCCCGCACAGCTGGCCGGGACTTCCTAGAAGTGGAGCTGCTGGGCTGAAGAATTTGTGCATTTAGCAGATATTGCCAAATGGCCCTCACGGAGGCCGTGCGGGTTCGCGATCCTGCTTGCAAAGCACGACAGGCCTTCCTTGCCCCACCCTTGCCAGCGTAAGCAGTTGTCAAACCTTTGATTCTTGCCAATCTGCTCGGTGGAAAATGCATCTGAGTGGACTTTTCTTTTAAAAAATATTTTTATTGATTTCAGAGAGGAAGGGAGAGGGAGAGATAGAAACATCAATGAGGAGAGAGAATCATTGATCGGCTGCCTCCTGCACACCCCTACTGGGGATCAAGCCCACAACCCGGGCATGTGCCCTTGACCAGAATCGAATCCGGAACCCTTCAGTCCAGGCAGGCCGATGCCCTGTCCACTGAGCCAAACCAGCTAGGCCTGGGTACACTTTTCATCTGACTTCTTTTATTCTGGGTGAGGCTGAGCATTTGTGCCCAGCCCCATGACTAACCTGTTTCTGTCTGTACACAGACGAGAGCCGTGACCTTGCCCGCTACCCCCTCTGCGAGATCCAGGTCTAGATCTGTGTCTCTCTCCGCCAGCTTCTTGCTGAGTCACCCGCAGGAAGGAAAGGGCAGCAGGCTCGGGTTAGCTCTGCCCGGGGGCCATCCGAGCTGCCAGTCCTGGGGAGACCTTGGTCTCTGGCATTTCCTGTGGGCGCCCAGCACCTCGGGCACTGGGTCACCGCACCTGTCAGACCCAGGGAAATGGGGGCTTGCAAGAAGGGATCGGGCCAGACCGGTTTGCAAACGAGGCGTGGAAAGGACTCAGCTGCATTTGGAGCGCGAACACTTGCAAGGAACTAATGAGCAAAGTCATTGATAAGTGACGAGAGGAAGCAGGCCCTGCGCAGAGGAGGGAGGGTTTAAGCTGTTGGAAGGCACTTGGTCTGGGAGGGGAGTGAGCCGCCGTGAAGGGGCTGGGGCAGTTGGGCAAGGATTCGCAGCGGAAATACCTAAATGCATCTTGCACGAGCTGCACCCCTCCTGGCTCCTCACTCATCTGGTTAGTGCTGAGAGCAGCCTCCATAGCAATAGAGATGCCCCTTAGCTGCCCAGGGAGGATTCAGGCCACTCGCACGACCAGCGAGAGGTATGGAGAGGCCCAGTGACCCTCGCTGACCTCCCTGAGTGGGGTCGTGGCATCTGGACCCCTGGTGGTCCGTGAGGTCCGAAAGGTTGGCGACTGCTGAGGGGGCAGCCGGTCAGGCCGTTGTCATTTGACCTCAGCGCTGCCCTGTGCATCTGGCTGCGTCTTGCTCCGGGAGAGAAATCAGGAGCCAGTGGCTGGATTCCTGGGCCCTGGGGAGTCTGCGCTGTTATTTCCAGACTCAAACAAAAAAGCAAA